CTTTCAATGTTCTCATCTCATAAATCATAGGGGTGGTTCACTGACCACTGGTATTTACTGTCATTTGTGCTAATTAATGAAGACAGTATGCTATTGTATAAAGTGCATACATATGATATACTTGGATGGTCTCACTACCATCCAAATCAGTAACAAATGAGAAGACATTTGTCTTGTTTAGGGAGAAAGCACAAAGGAAAAAATGTGACAAAATTACACCTAAGCGTTGAATATGTAGACAAAGGAGTTCAGATTTAAGAATTTTTCTGCCAGGAAAGACCAAGGAACCGCATTATAAAAAATAATGTACACATTTATTATTTAGCATCAGATGATGTTTATGAGTCCTGTAATTCAAAATGACAGAAGACAGAAAAGGTAGTTGTGTTTGTAATCTGTATATTCCCTTCAATGGGGTTTCAAGATTGGCACTCATTTTAAAACATAAGGGTGCTAACATTTTCTGTGGCGGCTGATGTCATCTCACCAATGACCACTGAGCCCTGGGTGGCAGAACAGGTCAAGATTACTGTCTTGGCAGTAAGAATATATGTATTTCCTTTATAATTCTGCTTTTGTTTTCCATTTCTTATGCTAAATTAAATCTAATCAACAAATATTTATCATAGAAGGATTGGGAAATGCTGGACTAAACAAAATTGGATATGTTTATGAATATGTATGTCATATACTTATACGCAGTGTACATATATAGATGTATCCATACATCTTGAGGGATTTTTGCTTTGTGGCGCCCCTTTAGGAAATACTGTAGCATGAGCATCCTCGTTGGATTCTGTATGAGAGTCTTTAAGATTCCATGTGCTGGGTAGACTATATGATGTCTTCATTCCTACCAAATCCTAAGACTATAAGGTACTGATCATTTCACGTTCCCCTCAAATTCATCCGATAAACTGCTTTCTAGGAACACTCTTACTTTGTTACATGAGACCCAGCCACGCAACAGGTTCTGATTTGTATTTCAGGATGGCTGACTTCAGGCTGTGGAAACTGAAGGCAGTAATGTTGGCTTTTGGAAGGAGCAGAATAAGAATCATTGAAGAAAGCTCAGACTCTCAGGAAGTCACCTGGAAAGATATCTGGATGCTTCCTGTCTTGTGACATTGTGGGATCTCCATGATTGGACTACGGGACAGAGGATTCACCCTAACTATGAACTATTTATTTCTCCTCCCTTGCCCTTAGTTAGGTGCCACCAAGCCTGTATTATGCAGTTAGTAGTTTTCTTACGTATCTTTCTCTAGAGCCATTTATAATACGGGTGAAATGAAAGCTCTTGCGCACGCACTTGATATTCATTTTCTAAAACTCAGACTTCGCTTTTTTTGGTAAGAATTGTATTTCAATATTTTTATAAGCTTTTGTGTGTATTGTGGGAAGGCGGCGTTTAACAAGGAGTTGATTTAGAGGTCTTTTTGTGTGCCTTTGGAGGGGACCAGGACTTAATATTTTCCTGAGGACAAGGAAGCCCTTCACACCCTGGAATGCAGCAGTTCTTCTCATGATGATCACTTGTGACAAGAAGCCGTTTACATTGTTTCTGCCGTACCAGACCGTTGCTATGATGTGTAACAAGTCACACATGTATATATCACAGAAGTCTTACCAATTCTGCATCCCTAGGAAGCTATAACATAGTGGTGAAAACTCTCCTAATATTTATAACAGCCATGGGGTAAGATTGACTATTCTTATCCAATCTGACTGGGTTAAGCCATCTTTCTTAAGATTCCTGAAATAGAAATAGCAATTGAGAAATCAATTCAAGTTTTGGGTGATAAAATTTAGCAGAAGAACAACCATCGAACAAACGGCTAGGTGAAATGCAAAACCATCATCAATTTTTGAAAACCCAAAATAATTTTAAGAATTTTGTTTGTTTAAAAAAAACCCAAACCTTTCTTTTGGTTGTAAAAAAAAAACCCTTGTGCTTTTCCTAAGAAATTGCCATCCATAGTTAAAGAATATTCATAGAAAATAATCATAAATCACCTTTGATTAACATTTCATTTAAACTTTTAAAATATCAATATTTTAAATATCTTCCTTTGACCCAAAATAACTAGATATGAGTCTGTTTCTTACATGATTAGAGGAGAGAGAACTTGATTCAAGATATTCAAAAACAGAGACGAGATTGAGCCTGTGGGTGAGGGGAATGATTTGATACCAAGTGACTAGTCAGAAACTATTCCACAGAGGTGCGCTGGTCCGCATTTGAGGATAAAGTGTATGTATTCCATATAGAACAATTTGTTTCTACTTGGGGAAGTCATCTCTGTGAAGCCTTTCTCCTCTCTTTGCTCCACTGAGGACAACTGAGGACAGTTCTGCTCAGCAAACTGGTTGAGCACCTGCTCTGGGCAGGTCCCATGCTAGATGCACAAAGACAAACAAAACTTGGCCTCAGGGCTCAGGAGCTGAAAGCGTGTGGAGATGAAAGCAAAGTGGTTCCAAATATGGTTCCGAATATGCTAGCACTGACTTATTGTACCAGACACATTCAGGGACTGGACATATTGCAAATTAAATGAAATTATCAGTTGAGAGAGCATGATTAAGCTAGATAATAAGAGAACTCACCATTCGCAAGCACCTCAGAGGGCACACATCCCCAGGTGTTGGTTCCATGTATATACACTACTCTGATTCATAATTACAAGGAAATACATGGTAATAAAATTAAAAACAGACAACAGCAATTTAAATACAGGAAACATTTCATGTGTTTAAAAAATTTTTTAAAGAAAATTCTGGAAGAAACTTGTTAATAAATGTTATACTGTTCTTTTACTTCTCAAAGAAATTATTTCACTTGCCACTTAGTTTGGATATTTTTGAGTTTTCATATATAGAAAGTTTTATATTGTCAGCCTTCCTATGACAAAGATACCAAATGTAACTTGAGTAAAAAATAAACATAAAAAAGAAAAGAAAGCAAATAAATATATATGTAAATGAACTCTATGTGTGCCTATGTATTGTGTGTGTATATACAATAAGTTTTCACTTAACATTGTCCATAGATTCTTGGAATCTGTAACTTTAAGCGAAACAACGTAAAACAAGACCATCATTTTTTCTCATCAATATTATAATGAAATGACATTGAATGAACTGATGTTATTCCAGGCCCTGCTGTATGTCATTTCAATTAGAGTTTCCATTTCCAAGAACCTCTCGAAGACATTAAATGAGGACTTACTGTGTGTGTGTATACATATATGTATTCGTATACCCACACAAATACACACACAAGTATACAACTATTATTATTAACACTTTGCTTAAGAAGAATTTAACTCCATAACAAAGCTGCTTTATAATTTTGATTGTATCATTTACTCATAACCAATGGTGACTCTGATGTTTCCAGTAAATTTCTCATAAACAGTAAAATAAACAAAATAGGCAAACCCATGATGGAGCAAAAAGAACTATTATGGTTGGTTCCTCCAGACCTTCGTTTTGTAGGTTCAATGATTACTGTTGCCTTGAAAGTGAAAAGCAAAAACAAAACCAAACCTTAAAAATGAATATTATTGGCTGGGTGTGGTGGCTAAAGCCTGTAATCCCAGTACTTTGGGAGGCTGAGGAAGGAGGATCTCTTAAGGCCAGGAGTTCGAGACCAGGCTGGGCAACATAGTGAGACTCCCATCTCTACAAAAAAAATTTTTTTTAAATTAGCTGGGTGTGGTGGCATGCGCCTGTAGTCCCAGCTACTCCCGAGGTGGAGGTGGGAGGATCACCTGAGCCCAGGAGTTTGAGGTAACAGTTTGAGCTGTGATTGTGCCACTGCATTCCAGCCTGGGTGACAGAGTGAGACTCTATCTCTAAAAAAAAAAAAAAAAGGTGAGTGAAAAGAAATTATTTCCTCTCTTACTGGTAATCACTAAAAAAGCAACAACGAGAATAAAAACAAAAAACAAGTTCCATTTGCAGAGAAACCAAGAGATCGCAAATCTTAGACCCAACAGAGGAATAGATGGCCAAGAACATCGGTGACCAGAGGGGCTTGCAGGAGGACGTGGACAGACGTTGCTGTGGGGGAAAAGGATTCACTGGCTACAGTATTAAATACATGTGTGCACGCACACATACAGAGGCAGCAACAAATAACCCCTCTCGGAGACAAAGGGCATACTCTGAAGTGCAAGTCCTCAATTCTTCGTTTATAACAGAAGAAACAGCGTTATATCAGCTGGTGGCAGGCGCTTCCTAGACCTACTTTGGTTCTGAGAAGCAGAAGAGCCGGGGCACACTGACAAAAAATATTTGCAAAAAGCAATCTGTCTTATGACAGCAGAGTGCTACAGAGTCTTTATGATGAAATAATAATAATAATAATAAACCCATAGTTGCCAGTCCCCACCAAGATGTAAAAGCTAACTGAGCTCCC